AACATTTAGCTGTACACCATTTTCCTTATCATTTTCATGTAGAGTCTATGAACTAGTTAATGAGCTTCTGTTACAAGTATTTCTAGAATGATACTCTTCATGTATGTGTATAAAATACACACTTAATTCCTCCAAACAAATGTCTGTTTGGATATTGGGCTGACTTTGATAAGAAGGGATTACAGTGAAAGCTCTTTGGCAGTGTAAAGCATGGTCAAACAAAAGGGCTTCACTCTAACTTTTCTCTATCAGCAAATAATGCCTGCCAAAATGATCCTTTCATGTTGAATACCCCTACGAGTGCGGTTGCTACTTAGAATGCAACCCTACTGTTTTGAATAAATAGCTGTTACTTTAAAAACCAATTAGCTGAGAGAGAGCTATTCCATTAGCATAGGATTTGGACTTAAATAAATAAGAAAAATCTAAAATAAAATCCCAAACCCTTATACCTGGGAAGTAATTATAAATAATTTTTAACTATTTTAAAAGCAGGCTGTTTTCCTAAGATAATATGATAGTAATTGCTAAATTTAAATACATTGTGAATAACTCTAATCTTGTAAACAAATTCAATACATGATTCTATCATGGAATTTGTGAATTCACATAATTTGCAAAAATAGATTAAGGCTTTTCCAAATCTCTGAACTCTTCCTAAGATACATTTCTCGTGCTATTTTATTCCCAGGTTTTGAACTCTTATCATGCCTAATGACAAATATCTTTGTCTATTTGACAATGACTTCAGGGATAATCTGAAGAATTTCAAATATGTATTTTTAAGTGTCTTGCGTGAGGATCTAGCCCAGTAACCACATACACATCTGAAAACCTGGGTATTGAGTGAGCATTAGACTAATACTAACCCCCACTCACACATTGCTCCAGGGAGTTCGTGCGCGTCTCCCTGCAGATTACAATCCAGGCTTCCACTGAAAAAACGGATTTAGACTTTGGGCTCGAAATGCAATTAAATCTGGCTCTTTTTTTAAAAAAAGAAGTGTAAAATTAATGCAATTCTCTCCTTCTCTTAAAGAGAACTTTTCTCCCTCATTTCACATAGTTTTTACAATTTGGCTGGGCAATACAGGCATATGGTTCAAGGACCAGAAAATATCAGGGTGCCCGGGAAACATTCTCCTTCCTCAAACCTGTCTGCCTTCTGCCCAGCTCCTCCCCACAGCTAACTGTTCTCCTTAGATTCTTACATAGCCTTCCAGAGCTTCCTTATGCAAGTAATATGGATACAAACATAAATGTTTTTCCTCCCCTTTTAAACCAATATATAGCCTATTAAACAAGTTATTATATAAATATAGCCTATTAAGTAAAACAGCTTTGGCTTTTCACCACATATAGATTTCTCCTTCTCTGTTGACAAGCCCTCCTTCGGGATGGCCTGCTTCACTGTGGTGGTGCAGCAGCGTCATCTACAGCTAACTTTTCTACTGGACGCAAAGCCCACAGGCTTCCTTCTGCTCGGAAAGTGAGCTCAGCGCCTCCACACCGGGCCCTGATGAATGATGGGCGCGCCTGTCAGTGAGCGCTCCCTGGCTACCCTCTGGATTCCATCTAGACGGATTTAGTCAGTATGCGGGGTTGGCCAAAGAGCAGCTGCTGTGTGTTGATATCATTTGTTAGACCTCAGGGGCTTCCATGACCTGAGGGTGCCCAGTGGAAACTTGGAACTGAACCCTGTTTGGAAAGGAGTCTGAGGGAGCCAGGCCCCAGGCACACATGCCTTTGAGAGCTAAAGGCTTCAAGCGGAGGCATCACAACTGCCCGCAGCAGCATCACACACTTATTTCTGTACTTTCCCTTCTTCTACTCAGTAAGGTCATTCTCAATTATTTCTTTCATACTCATACTCAGTGTCAGGCCCAGGAAGCTGCAGCTGGGTACCAAAGAGGCATAAATGCCAGCAAATTAGTCACCACCAACCGTGGTTCTTGCTAGGTCGTGGATTCCCTGGTCATTGAGGGGAAGGATGCTCACTGAAGATCGCACACTCTGGACCAGCAGCTTGCAAAGTAAATTAGAGCTTCATTTCATGATTATTTTTAAAGAGGCAACGTACCCAGCAAGCTATAATTAATCCTACATGGAAGTTTACTCTCAGAGATGGATTTACCTTGAAACCAGTGAAGCTCAAGTTTCAGGGTCTCTCACCAGCATGCGTCCCCATAAGGCTCTGTGCCTAATGCATATGACTTAACTTTATATTCTTTTTTGTAAAAGTGCTCCTCAAATTGTATAACTCTTATGCCCCACAAAACCTGGATCTGACCTTAGTTATTGCCACAGCCAATTTTCAGTTATCTGCTAGCTGATTGTCCAAATTTCAGCTTTATGCAGGGGCAAATCTTGCTTGCTAAATAAGGTGAACTATTTTCTTAGTGGTCCACTGGTTCTTTTGTTTTCATATTTACTTCTCAGTTGACTTGCAAGGCAACAGGACTTTCTGTGAAATGGTCTGATCCGTCCCTACTGGGAGAATTCTTGATACAGAATGGATTTGACTTCTCCAAGCACAAAAGGGGTCACGAGAACTAGAGAAGGTTTGTTCCAGTCAACGGACAGCCTCCCAAACAGCCTCCCAATCGTTCCTGAGACAAATCTTGCCTCTGTGCCTTTGTTTTTGATTCAAATGAACCCCTAGGCCATAAAATTCATACGTTAAGGAAATAAATACTTCAAAGCTAAAGGTGAAAGATTTGACGGATCAATCATACTTCTTCTCAGCCCCATTAGTGAAGATAACTAAAAACTGACAGTATGGGCTTCCCTGGTGGCACAGTGGTTGAGAATCCACTTGCCAATGAAGGGGACACGGGTTCGAGCCCTGGTCCGGGAAGATCCCACATGCCACAGAGCAACTAAGCCCGTGCGCCACAACTACTGAGCCTGCGCTCTACAGCCCGCGAGCCACAACTACTGATCCCGTGTGCCACAACTACTGAAGCCCACGTGCCTAGAACCCGAGCTCTGCAACAAGAGAAGCCACCGCAATGAGAAGGCCGTGCACTGCAACGAAGAGTAGCCCCTGCTCGCCACAACTAGAGAAAGCCCGCATGCAGCAACGAAGACCCAACGCAGCCAAAAAAAAAAACCCAAAAACTGACAGTATTTCTATTTTCCAATTTGACTGGAGTTTTACGGGTTGACAATTTAGTCATCTCATATTTTTTCTGTGGCGTTTTAATCTTTTTTGTTTGTTTTTATTTTTTTAACATCAACATATTTACTCATTTGCTTATTTTTGTTTGTTTTTAAATCACTCCTTTTTCAGCCCACAAAGCACTATGTAAGGAGTTTAATCTCTAACAGAATTAGAGCTCTGCCTTTGTAGAACCCTATTACTCTGGCTTAGTAACACCATCAGTGGTACATGGCATGTTTGTATTCTAGTTGCTGAGTATTTAACGGAATAAATAAATGCTTAAGAAATTAATATTTACCTCCTAGAGATTACTTTGTATTCTTTTGAAAATCATCTTTAACTCTGATGTTTAAAAATCAGGAAAACAGAGATAGGACACTGTGTAATACATATATCTACTTAAGGACTCCAATGATTCGTTTATTGGTAGTACATTTTAATTCATGAAAGATGAGAATTTTTTTTACTCATCAAGTAATTTTTTTTAAACATCTTTACTGGAGTATAATTGCTTTACAATGGTGTGTTAGTTTCTGCTTTATAACAAAGTGAATCTCAAGTAATATTTCTTGGAGCTAAAAATTTGTTATTCTTTATGTATTTCTATAGGAAAGTTTGGATTTTTTCTGTGGTGGGAAATAATCAGTTTTTTAAGGGGAAATGTCCCTTTGATAGGCCAATTTGTGCAACTCTATAGGTAGAGAGAAAGGTGGGCAAAGATGGACTGATTCCTAACTTACTATAGTATACTCTTATACTTTTAAAGCTTGGAAATTGATTTTTTAAACTTCATTTTCATCTAAATATGTTCCTACATTTCTCATCTTTGTTTACTATAAATTATTTGCCTTGGTAATATAGAGCTGGCTTTGGTTTCATTCTTTGGTTTTCAAACTCAAGAACCCTGGAAAGAGTTTACATACAAGAAAAACTGTAAGTAAATCCAATATTACCACAGGCAGATTGATATCACAGGTGAATTTTTAAAAAACACAACTCACCACCTGCTCCTTAAGAATAACCTTAGCTAGCAGTTTATCTTGTCAGCCACCTCCATTATGCTAGCCAGGTGTCCAAAGAACATTAGAAATAACAGAAAAGAGAGGAAGAGACAGGCACTCTTTGGGTGACAGTGCTATTCTATGAAGTGTTTATACTGTGACATAGGGCATATTTACCACCACTCCCGAGGAAAAGGGAGCTGCATGCAAAATACCCCTGTCGGAGAAGAAGACGGAAAACGCCTTTTAAAACTGGCTCACAATCCTCTTCAGACTTCTGCTCTCTGTGGCAGACATTCATGCCGTATGATGGGAGAGTTCTGAGTTTAGGGATCACAAAGTCATTGACAATTGCAATAGGATATATAATGGACGGAAAAAAGGGGAGCTTATTCGTTATGGAACAAAAATTTCTTCAGGCCCCATAGTCGTAACAGCTCCCTCTATTTTTTGGCTTTAGAAAACACATTAAGACCTCAGCTCATGTGAGGAGTAGAGATGGAGCCCTCTGGGTCTTAATTACTTTTAAAAAGGCAGTATCGCTTCTCATCACAAAATGATACCAAATAAATATGCTGACTAAATTTTAACACTTTATATAAGATAAAGATCCATTTGTATAGTAGGATTATAAAGTATCATAATAAATCGTAATGGATGCAAGACTCTTCTTTCCTTCCATACATGTATTCTTTCTTCACTATTTAAAAAATCTATTCAAATTTGTAGATGCTTTCACTGACTCTTGCATATTCACAATGTCACATGTTTTCACAAGAGGTAAAATTAACTTTGAGTAATCGATTCTATGAGAAATTTTCATAACGATAGCATACCATGTGAGACGAGGTTCTGGCCAGCCGGCTACAGAGCAGTGTAATTTTACATTTTCTTTCTCCCAAACAGTGTGGGAACGAGGTTTAATGACAAATTCAGGAGCATGGAGAAGATTATCTTCATTCAACTTTTTATGATACGCCTCAGTTTCTTCTAACTGAAAAAAAAAATCAACATATTATGAAATCAAAGTAACATGTGCTACAAAAATGTAATGTAGAAATCAAAATGATCATTTTTTTTCATTTGGAGCCTTACTTTTGCATTCATTTCAAACGAATTCCCCTCACCCCTTTTGAAAACAAACACATCACTTAATTTTTAACATTGTAAGCCTGAGCAACATATTTTACTTCTCTAAGGTGGATTTCTTAAGGTTCTTCAAGAACTTTAATTTCTATAGAACCTAAAACTTCACAGAATTTAAATATTAAGTGTGTCTTTCTTTGACCTATACATTTTGATGTCTTTTTCCTTTTGTTTCTCCGCAAGACCACGTATTTCTTCATTTGAAGCTAATTAATCTATATTAACACACATATACACAATGTTACATGCATTTCTACTTTTTAAAATTAATATTTATTGGAGTACAGTTGATTTACAATGTTGTGTTAGTTTCTGCTGTGCAGCAAAGTGAATCAGTTATACATATACATATATCCACTCTTTTTTAGATTCTATTCCCATATAGGCCATTACAGAGTATTGAGCAGAGTTCCCTGTGCTATACAGTAGGTCCTTACTAGTTATCTACTTTATATATAGTGGTAGCATTTCTACTTTTGTAAGTTATATTAAATTGTCTTTTTTTTACCGTTTTTTTCAGTGACAGGTGTTCTGCCTTTTCTCGAATTGCAACTTTCCTCGACTTCTCAAAACCTTCCTCCTGGCGAAGCATGGATGTGGACTGTTTGGATACTGTGGACTGCTTGGCTGCCGTGACTCCTTCCTCTCTAGCAAGGAGATTCCTCTGGGCTATGTAAGCAGCAGCTTCTTTAATTCTTTCTTCTTCCGTGTCTGTAATTCCACTGACATGCACTTGGCTAAAATATAATAACAGCGAAATATGGATATTGCGCATGGCAGTGATGAGATAGCCCAATTTTACCAAGTTCAAAGTGCCTGACCTCAGATGCTGTACACTGTGCCCAAAGAAAACCTGACATAGAAAGACCTGGTAAATAGGAGCTAACTCTTCACACATGGCAGTGATCTTCACCTTAACCAACAATGATAACCACAATAATACTACCTATTCCGGCTGTGGTGCCTTGACAAGTGGTTTTTACATACATTGTCTCATTTTTCCCCACAACAACCCTTTGAAGTAAACTGTACCCTCTCTACTTTAGATATATGGCAAAAAGACACGGAGAAGTTAGATAACTTGCCCAACATCATTTCTTTGGTTTCCTTAGTGTGTTTAAATATGATTTAGTCTATAAAAAAAGATTAAGTTACTACTTCCTTCCAGAAAAGACGATATTGTGAAATGACAGACAGTTGTGTGGCTGTGATTCTGATTTTCGACTATGTGCTTGATCTGGATTTTGTAACTCAGATGATGTAATGCATTGCCCAGAGGTGCTGCACGCAGAAATAAGTTGTAAATTTACGTGAGATCCTTAAGCCTAGTGGGTTTCCTTTCCATGATAATAAAGGTTGTGTGTGTGTATATACATATTTAATATGACAGCCTTACTTTGTGCTTACACACAGCCCTGTTGTAAAGAAATGATCAAACTCACACCTGAAGTGTCGATGCTGACAAAAGTGACTTGCTTTTACTCATAATTGATGATGATGATGGCAAGTGAGTGGCTACATCCCAAAGTGCTGTGCCTAATATAGTAGTTTATGATAGAATTTGTGCTGTGATTTAGTAATATTGTTTAAAATATTTGGATTATTTTAAAGCTCCTTCAATACCTTTGTTGTCAATCCTATTACATGTTTCAGTGAGGAGTATGTTGATTATATTGAAGATTCTCTTGAAATTGAGTCTCCTGAGACCTCTTAAGGCAGAATTGTACATTTGTTTTTCTTATAAGAAAAATTACTTCAAACTTCAAGCAAACACTGCCATTGTGTCTACAAGTCCCTGGCACCTGAATCTATACAGTTTGCTGACGAGTAGGACACAACATTTGCACAAGCTTGGAATTTCTCATGGAATATTACAAAAACATCTGGTAGACAAATTAGTCCACCTTGCGTTTTACTCAACTTAGTGAGTAAATTTTAATTTCTTTTCCCTTCTCTCTATCTCTCCAAATATTAATAAGTAGTCTCTACCAACGAAGTTATCTGCTATAATTTAGGGGGAGAAAAAGGAAGATGGAACATTTTTAGCTTAGTGTCCTGACATAATTACCTCTAACTTTTCTTTTTGAATGAGATAGGAAGTGAATGAATTAATAAGTGAATACAAAACAAACATCATGAGAATCTACTTGGAATTCTCTATAGAGGCTAATATACAATATAGAGATTTGAAATGAGGTTTGTAATATGATTCAATATGTATAGTAATGGATTATATTCAATGCTAGTCCGGCCCCAAGTTGAGACAGCTCTAAGTGAAGTTCACATACCCTTTAACAGTGGATGTGCTAACATAGCTCTAGAGGGCAGAATGGAGTCATGGTTTCCCTGCCTTTTCCATTTGCAAATAAGGTAAACCTTGGGGGAAAAAACTGTAATTATTTCACAGGAAAACTCAAGTACACTTAAAAATATATTTTTGACCCAGGACAGCAGGCACATTTGCCTTTAAGTAAATATAAGTGCATGTCAGTTGTAACCCTGCTATAATTTGGGTACAAGAGCAAGAATACGATACTAATATCAAAAACACACTACTGCAAATTTAAAATAAATTTAAAACCTTTCCAGGGCTTCCCTGGTGGTGCAGTGGTTGAGAGTCCGCCTGCTGATGCAGGAGACACGGGTTCGTGCTCCAGTCCAGGAAGATCCCACATGCCGCGGAGCGGCTGGGCCCGTGAGCCATGGCCGCTGAGCCTGCGCGTCCAGAGCCTGTGCTCCGCGGCGGGAGAGGCCACAACAGTGAGAGGCCCGCGTGCAGCAAAAAAAAGAAAAAAAGAAAACCTTTCCAATACTCTATATCTGATGATTTCAATTTAAAACCTGTTGCTGACATAAAGTTAGTTCTACTTATCAGACTATAAGAAGTGGAATTTTTGGGCTTCCCTGGTGGCGCAGTGGATAAGAATCCCCCTGCCGATGCAGGGGACATGGGTTCGTGCCCCGGTCTGGGAAGATCCCACATACCGCGGAGCGGCTGGGCCCGTGACCCATGGCCGCTGAGCCTGCGCGTCCGGAGCCTGTGCTCCGCAACGGGAGAGGCCACAACAGTAAGAGGCCCGTGTACCGCAATAAAAAAAAATTTTTTTTTAAACTTTAAAAAAAAAAAAAAAGAAGTGGAATTTTCAAGTGCCATCCAGAAGAAACCGTATTCTCCAGAAATATACTACGATTGCATTTGCCAATCCTAGGGGGACTCTCAGCTCATCCACTACCAGCCATGTGACTTTCAGCAAGTCACTGAGCTTAGATTTCCTTGTCCAAAAATTGACATATTAATATCTCTCCAGGGCTGGATGGAGGACTTAGCAAGATAGTTTATATAATGCACCTAGAGTGATTCCCAGCAAGCAATAGGTACTCAGCAAATGTTCATTATTTTCCCATCCTCTTAGATTGTTAATACTGTCAATACCATTATGCAGTGTTATTTTCATAGTAACAGAATATAGGAGATGGCTCCATATAAAAAATGAAGGTCAGCTAGAAATAAAACCTAGAAGATAAAATTTTTATTCACATTTTCTTTTATCACAGTTTATTTTGTAAATTATCATTTATTTTTTTAATATTTATTTTATTTATTTATTTTTGGCTGTGTTGGGTCTTCGTTGCTGTGTGTGGGCTTTCTCTAGTTGCCGTGAGTGGGGGCTACTCTTTGTTGTGGTGCATGGATTTCTTACTGTGGTAGCTTCTCTTGTTGCAGAGCACAGGCTTTGGCACGTAGGCTTCAGTAGTTGCAGGTCACGGGCTCAGTAGTTGTGGCTCACGGGCTCTAGAGCACAGGCTCAGTACTTGTGGCGCACGGGCTTAGTTGCTCTGCAGCACATGGGATCTTCCCGGACCAGGGATCGAACCCATGTCCCCTGCATTGGCAGGCAGATTCTCAACCACTGCACCACCAGGGAAGCCCTAAATTATCATTTCTTGAGACTGGCCTGGAGGGGACAAAATGGTTTGGTGGGGAAAAGGCAGGGAGAAGATGGTGAGTGAGCAGCTTCACTTCATGCCCACACAGGTGGAGAGGCATGCCATGTAGGTTAATGCTAAGCTGACATGATTTTTAAATGATTTTTTAAAAAACAGAGTGGGAAAAAAGAAGAAAATAAAATATCTCACTTCTCTAACCTAGCCATCTCCTAAAAGGAATATGAGTGTCATTAAACCAACTGTGATGAGGTTGATTCTGGGCAAGCATACTTAACAATATAAGTATGTTTGTCTGGAAAGTTCACTTAAAAAAATCAGATATAAAAAAAAAGTCAAAGAGGGCTTCCCTGGCGGCGCAGTGGTTGAGAGTCTGCCAGCCGATGTAGGGGATGTGGGTTCGTGACCCATCCGGGAAGATCCCACATGCCGCAGAGTGGCTGGGTCCGTGAGCCATGGCCGCTGAGCCTGTGTGTCTGGAGTCTGTGCTCTGCAACGGGAGATGCCACGACAGTGAGAGGCCCGCGTACCGCAAAAAAAAAAAAAAGTCAAAGGTATAAAATGAAAAGCTAAAAGTAGAATATTGTTTACCCCCTTACCTTCCTAAGTAGGTTCAGAGCAATTATGACATTAGCCTCCAAAACAATTCAGAAAGGAACCATCAGAAAGCAGTGGAAAGAAAAAATGGAGGGAAACAGAAGTAGGTCACCCAAAATTACACCCGCATTATTGCCTAGTGATTTTCCTGAGAGCACTTGCCTGGAGAAGACGACCTCATTCTGAACCATCTTAGCTCTGTGAATAATTCTCCATTCAAAGGAAAATAAACAGGGAAGACTCGGAAAGTTCCTGTTAAACTTTAAGTTGGTGTCTTGGACAAGTCTCCTTTCAAGATTCCTTTGTATATATTATCATTCAAAAAAATGTTTATATTATAAACAAATTTGGCATTACACAGACAGGTGATTTAGTGATTATTTTGTTTGAACTTTACCTCATGTAAATCTATTTTACATTTAACAAACATAAGCCAGGCATTATTATGGTGCAATTCTTTTAGTCTACGTTATCTAAGACCTTTTTTTCTTCATAATGAATAATAATTAAAACCACACTGGCAACCAATCTACCTAAACATATCATCTGATTTTTTTCTTTTAGTTCACCCAATATTTTATAGTTTTAACCTTTCTTTCTACTCTAAACATAGTGACTATATAGAGAGTCGAAAAACTAGCATCCAATACTCAGCTTCTAATTTCAACTAGTTACATAATTAGAAATAAGTTGCTGATCATCCTCTTTTGTCATATAGCCATCCTATGTGATGGCAAACAGTTTTACAATGAACACATCTCCCTCCGTGCATGGTTCTGAGGTTCCACAGACCTTTCTCAACCAGTACATAGTAAGTGCTCAATAAATGACAGCTGCTATTGTTATTACTACCTGACAACATTTACTCTCCACTTTCTAATAATCAGATCCAGGGAGAAAATCCGTACATACCGTCCTGAGAAAATGGGCACCATGTAGTCACTTGGCAGATTTTCTTTCTTCTCTCCAGAGAGAAGGCTTTTCTTGGCTCTCTTTGTTTGGGGGCTCAACTTGGATGAATAATCTTCTAACATCAGACTGGAATCTGTAAGTCTGAAAAAAAACACCCTAATGTTAGTCTATAATTTAAAAAAATGCTTATAAAAGGAAGTTTTAAGTTTGAGGACGTTTTACAGAAACCTAGATGGCTAATGTTATAATCATCTTTTATCTTTAGAGCTAGCGTGAGAATGACCTCACACAATGCACTCTATCTAGACACAAGAGAAAAATAAGTCTATATCAATTTTTAAAAATTGCAGTATAACTGCTTTACAATGCTGTGTTAGTTTCTGCCGCACAGTGAAGTGAATCAGCCATATGCATACACACATCTCCTCCCTCTTGGACCTCCCCCCGCCATCCCACCATCCCACCCAGGTAGCCCATCACAGAGCACCGAGCTGAGCTCCCTGTGCTATACAGCAGGTTCCCACTAGCTATCTGTTTTACACATGGTAGTGTATTTATGTCAAATTTCATGGCTTTTTCCCCCTTAAAATTTCGAGGGAAAGTGGCAGTGCTTTGGTAATAGTTCCAAATACCCTTTGCTGTTAAGTTAATGTTGGAAAATTAGGTGGTCTACATAAACGGTTTGGATACGTTGTGTATCCAAATGCTTTCAGGGGATTGATACAAAAGCAGATTTTCTGTATTGGGAGCCCAGGCAATTCTGATGCAGGGCCTCTAGGTTCAACTTGAGGCCTTTATGTAGTATAGACAGACTCCGTCTGAAAGGACACTGGGTTCATCAAACAATAGAGTTAATATACTTTCTGTGAACACACAGCGTCGAGTGACTCGGAAAATTACAGGTTTGATAAAGAACACTTTTCTAGTGCTGTTGCACACAAAAATCCACCCACCCATGCACACTGGTGCGAGTGTACACTTGGAGGTAGTTATTGTTCTAATAAACCAAAAAAGGTGTCAGCAGAGTGGAAAACATGACAGTAGAGATTGCACCTAGAGAAAAGAATTGATGAAATTAAAAGGACAACCTTAATCTATATAGTTCTTGAATGAAATGAAGTGCATCTTCTTTCAAATGTATAGAATTTGGCATAAATTTCAAAAGTTCATGGACTCTGAACAATCCATGGGCTCAGGCTAAAAGCCTCTCGTCTGCATTGTAATGAAATATAGTCACAATAGGAAGCCGTACAGGAACTCTCTGTACTATCCTTGTCATTTTTCTACAGACTTGAACTGATTCTAAAATTAAAAGTTAATATTAAAAAGGTCCCTGGTGTAGAGAAAATTTGAAGAGAAAGTGAAGCATGTGAGTGGTGTGGCATGGAAAAAGCCAGCTGCCCAGTTAAAACAGCAAAACCTTCCAAAGTGTCCAAACCTTGATCGTTTCCAGTCTTTAAAAAGCATTAGCAAAAGCAAAGAGATTACCTAAATCAAAAGAAGACAGCACATATACAGAGTACAAAATGGATACATAATAATGCAAATAATCTTATCCCCTGCTAAGCAAGTAACACAGACCTGCAGGGCTTCTAGGAAGTACAGGGGGTGCAAACGTAGCCTGAGAGTATAGGGTGGGCTACTGTCTTTAATTCCTGGAGTGGAGTTGTAGCACAGAAATGGCAAACCTTTTCCTCTCCCACTAACTACCCCCTCCCCCAGGGTGAATATCTAGCTCTTATTCTATGATCAGCATTAATGCCAAAGGTTAGAACCTTGAAATCAAACTTGTGGATTGGTTACCAATTGGAAGGCTTAGTGAAATTTGTTCCTGGCTGGCTGTTCCAGGCAGCAGCAAAATGATTGCATTCTATACCCCTAGCAGGTTACAAAGTACAGGCTGTGCTAATACAGGTCTAAGTTTAAAGTGGTATTTTCCTTCACTCCTTTAATTCCATTACTATACAAAATAAAATTAATTATAGAGTCTGTTTCATTTTTTTCTATTTACAGAACATTTGCATTTTCTAATTTTTCTCCTGTTTTTCTGTTTTTGCTCTTTTTACTTTTTACTTTCATTCTACTATCTGCAGTCATATTCTCATGAGCTCATATTTTCAATGTTTATTTATATCAAAACAGCTGTGATTTGTCATTCTTTTTCTTGTACTGTCGTTCCTTTTTTTCTGTCATTTTCCCTTTAAGATAAACCTTTAAAATGATTCACTTATTACATAGAATGTGCCAGAATGTGATTATTCCATTCTCACAAGTAAATTACGGCAGGTGATTTTTAATAGTTAAACTTTATGGTAAAGATTCATAGTACTATCATCAGTTTTCACATAATATTTCATTTGGAACAAAAAGCTTCATAAAAAGCATTATGATTTTATATATTATACAGTGTTATTTAGAAAATCATATATTATATACTATTATTTAGAAAATCCAAAGTATTTAGAAAATATCAAACACTTGTTATGCTCTCTAAAGTTTCTTCAAGCTTTTGAGTCCTAACAAAAAAAGAGTGTGTGAAGGATTAGATGTTAAAATACTGTGCCAACAGACTATTTGGTAATGCTAAGTCATTTATCGAAGTTAACAAACAAAACTAAATCAGAGAAACAAAGTTTTAAGGAACTGACTATGCAATAATCAGTGTAACTAATTATTTGAAGGAAAGCCATGTCTATTTTGTTATGACCCGGGAACACTGAAGTCTAACATCTTACTCTATTGAATTTTAAAGTCAAATAATGTTTTTAGAGAAGTTCAATAGAATATGTAAAATTTAAATTTCTTTTTTTTAATTTAAATTTCTTTGAAGTTACATCAAAGAGCTAAATAAGGGCTTGCTAACCTCTTGGGCTTTTAGTTGTATCTAAATTTTGAAAATAATACTCTGTCTTATAAGTCAGTTTCTGAGTAGACACTTAACTTGACATGTATGGATCAATGTGGGTCTTTTAACTATTAAAACTATATTTAACGGGACTTCCGTGGTGGTGCAGTGGTTAAGAATGGTTAAGAATCCGCCTGTCAATGCAGGGGACATGGCCTCGACCCCTGGTCCAGGAAGATCCCACATGCCGCAGAGCAACTAAACCCGTGCGCCACAACTACTGAGCCTGTGCTCTAGAGCCGGCGCGCCACAACTACTGAGCCCACGTGCTGCAACCGCTGAAGCCCATGCACTCGGTGGCTCCACAATAAGATAAGCCACCACATTGAGAAGCCCGTGCATTGCAACGAAGAGTAGCCCCCGCTCACAGCAACTGGAGAAAGCCTACGTGTGGCAACGAAGACCCAACGCACCCAAAAATAAATTAAAAAAATTTAAAAACCCTAAATTTAATGTTCTTTATGTCTTGAATCTTTCTGAACTTCAATTTATGAAGGCAGGGAAACTAAGCTATAGGTAAGGATTGATTTGTGTGTGCATGGGTGCACCCATGTGTCTGTAACTGTGTCTAAGTACATCTACCTATACTCTGCTAGTAATTGTGGTATGTCCTCTTAATATGCCTAAAGTTAGCAGAATTTAAAGAAATATCATGGTGTGTATGACATCATCACACCTATGACCAGCAGCACCACAGAGAAGGGATGTAGCCCAGGTACAGACAGCTCCTTCTGGAAATGTTCCAGGGACTCAGAAATAGACTTGCACCTCCATCCAGTTCAAATACTGAACAGCAACAACAACAAAAAAAACAACATAACCTTCTGCTCTTACAACTTCATAATTATTCTTAACAGGAATAGCAAGAACAAAACTAATTATAGAATCACAGAACTGGAAGAGATCTCAGGGATATTTATACCACACTCAGTTTATAGATGTGGAAGACCTGGAATATCTTTGTAACTTGCCCAGGTTCATACAGCAAGTTGGTAGGTGAGCTAGGACTAGCATCCACCTAGGTTAGTGCTCTTTCCACTACAGCAGTAGTCTCTAACTTTTGTGACTGAGTCCTCTCAATCCAAAAATATTGGGGGCATGCCACCTGTTTATTTATAAATTCTACACATATACTGCTGTATAAATATTCTCACTTTATGAAATATTCCATCAACAGAAAAATTTTATGGGCCAAATTTGACTTTTAAAAAAAATACAGAAGTGCTCATATTTCTTCCTACACTTCCATGGCTTGCCTTCATGGATTCGCCACTTTGGAAACCACAACACCGTGTCACACTGCCCATAATGACTCTGATGTTGATTTGCTATTCCTGAATTTATTCACATCAATTGATTTATTCACATCACAGTCCAATTAAAAATAAAGCATTAAAAAACTCATTAAACTTTACATGAAGTAAAATGCTAGTTCTTTAAAGTTATGTTGTCCTAGTTCCCCAGGATGAGTAACTTTATTCACACTTATGTTAAGTATGGATCTACTTAATGGCTATATAACTTTCTAAAAAAATTATGACAACCTATCAGCATGTTTCAGAAAAAATGATCGGTTGTAGACACCCATCCCTATATGCCTACGGTTATATTGTATTATTGGTTTCCCTCTCTATCTTTCCCATTGCCTATGACTATTCAAGGAGGGGGATGGCCTAAGTTACCTTTGTATACTCAGTACTGTGTGCACTGCCTGATAGTGTTCAATAAACTTACTGAATGAAGTGAAATCAAGATTCATCCTCCTGTAATCATACACTATCTCAGTGATTCTCAACCCTGACTTGCCATCAGAATCAGCTGAGGAGCTAATAAAAATGGCCAATGCAGAGGTGGGACTTCTAGTATGGTGGAGTGAGTAGTTCAGCAGTTTCTCTCCCCAAAAAGCCATGATAAAATTGGATACAATTGTCAAAACCAACCCATTCAGGGCTCTGAAAATCAACCAAAGGCATACACTACACTGACAAGTGGTTATTCATAAAAAGATACTGAACTTCAGGTATGAATAAGTGGGAGTCTGTGTGACATTCTTGCCTAGTCTTTCACCACCCCCTAGCTCCCAGCTCAATCCATAAGGTAGTTCTACCAAGGTGGGAAAAGGTGAGAAAATCATAATGTTCACTGCCAGAGGGGTTGACTTGATTTGGAACAGAGCATGATAAACCTTCACAACCAGCAACATTGTAACATGAGCCATCTAAGTGGCAAACAAACA